ATAAAGAATTAAGTGCAAGAAAAATCTCGACTTTTCAGGGACAATCATTAGGAACAAAGAAATGCAGTTTAAGTTTCTGAGGGATTCTCTTCTCTCTTCTTTCAACTTATCCTTTTTAAGAATTCACTTGTAATGGTAAAATAATATTCTAAATATCCATTAAATGTAAAAATATCTTATTGAGTCTTATCAGGGATAAGCAGTGTGTAGACCTTAGAAAAAAAAATTAGTCTCTATTCATGACGTTTATGGCAAAGAAAATAAATATACCTATATAATATAGAAAGTCCCCCTCCAACTTCAGATTTATCTGGCTTTTCTGAACTACGGGAGATATTCACTTATTACTTATATAATTAAATATTAAGAACAAGCAAAACAGGGCTTCTCCCATTTACTTCTGAATAATGAAGGAGGTTCCATAAGAACAAGAGAGTAAGGGAAATATTTTGGATAGAAGAAATAACACATAATGACAGAGTTGTCAAATCATTATGGTAGAAATACATGGCAAAGGAAACATAAGGAAACGTTTTATTTAATTCTGTAAAGAGTGGATTTTTCATCTTGAAAGAGAAACCAATACAATAAAAAGTTCTTAGCATGTGAATGATAATAAAATGTGCACTCAGATATCAGAGTAAAAACTGGGTCGGAAAGGGTCACGAGGGAGGGTAGAAAGACTAGTTAAAAAATCTCTATGAAAGTTTAGAGGAGAGTTGGTCAGGCTATGAGAAGAAACATTTATATTTCACAATCTGCATTTGGTTTCTAAGTGAATGGGGAGTCTGGTAGAAGACAGAAAAAGTATGAATCTCCGATTTCAATTCTGTATCAAAATCAGTGATAGTGCCAAAGGGCTGAGATATCAACCACAAAAATAAGGAATTTAATGTGTCTTGGGAAACACTACAATCATTGAATTGAACTGGAACCTTCTTAACAATTTAACAGCATCATGATCTGGACTCTACAGAATTCTGAGGCAAGTATCTGGAGACTTAAGGGTTGGTTTTTGTTCAATTTGTTTTTTGGTGTGTTTCCCTTTGTTATTTTGGCTTTGGTTCTGTCAGCTTCCTCTGTATAAAATATATATTTCTCTTAGAAGCCATACCGTTTATTATTATATGTGCTCATTTGACTCTCAACTGGGAATTTCATTTTTCTCCTAGTGTTATCTTGCACTAGTGGTTAACTTCTAAAAGTTAAATTTTTATTTCCTTATTACTTGTATACCGATAAACAATTTCCTTGAAGCCACGTAGCATGCTATAACAATTCTATCACTTAGAATGTTTCATAACTTTTCCAAAAATTACTTAGACCCACATGAGTCCTTTGCTAAATCCATCTGGCCTCTCTTGATGTCAATGCTCTTCTCCAACCCTCATCAAGATAAGGAAAGACAATTTGCCCAGAATTCAGCCATTTATGAAAAAATAAAATGTTTGGGTCTCCAGATATCTGGCAAATCAAGTGAAAAGGGAACCTACCTCCCCCAAATGACCCCTAAGGTTTATAGGTTACTTTATCATTGGGTTATACTAACGGCCCCCAACCCCATTTGATGAGTAAATCTTATTTTTTCTTCCCTATTGCCCTAGGGAAAGAATTTCCATCTTCTCAATCTCAGACCACTATTCTCATTCTCATTTTTGCTTAGATAGATGTTTTTTAAACTAGTCCCTTCCTACGTAGCTTTAAAATTTAAGGCAGTAATTATCAAATGCTCAAGTACCCTCAAAAGCTAGGTAAAATCCTCCTCCTGGGTGTCTAGGAGATCTAACCTAAAAAAAGTTTATCTTTGATGTACTGTGAATGTCACAAAAATTCATTCAAAACTTGCATTTTACTATATTACTTATCTGTTTAAATATTAAAATGTTTTAATTTAGTCATCATTTAAATTAACTTCTTGTCAAAAACAATTTCCAAAAAAAATGTTTTATCTTGAAGCTTCTTTGCCTTCCAGATACCACCACTATAGATTGGAGTTTAAATAATCAATGTAAAAGATTATTACATATATCATGATATTTTTAACAAAAAGTAATACAGCAGGGTGCAGTGGCTCATGCCTGTAATCCCAGCACTTTGGGAGGCTGAGGCAGGCAGATCATGAGGTCAGGAGTTCGAGACCAGCCTGGCCAATATGGTGAAACTCCATCTCTACTAAAAATACAAAAATTAGTTGGGGTGGTGGCACATGCCTGTAGTCCCAGCTACTCAGGTGGCTGAGGCAGGAGGATCTCTTGAACACAGGAGGCGGAGGTTGCAGTGAGCCGAGATTGCACCACTGACTCCAGCCTGGGTGACTCAGTGAGACTCCGTCTCAAAAAAAAAAAAAACTAATGATTTTGAGAAATACATTTAAAATGCCACAAAACTATATAAAAACAAAAGTAAAGAAATGAACCCAGGATTCAGTTAAAACTGAAGAAATACTAAGTTTCATTTAGAGCGTACTAAAAATAAATGTGTAATTATTTTCCCATCCAAGTTCAAAGATGGTTTACCTTTAAGAATCCATCTTCTAAAGGAAAAAAGAAAATCAGTACTAACACTAAAAGGACATTGTTGCAGGATCTCTGATAATCACTATGTACACTTTGTGTCATTAAGCCATCACAAGTACTATTCTACAACTTTGGCAGCTTAGGGAGGTTATTTGTATAAAGTCACGTGACCAAAAACACATTCAAACTATGTGTTGCTCCAAATGAAGACTGTGATAAAGCACCTCGAAAAAATTTTCCAGCCTCTAGTTGAGGAATCGTTGAAGAACATTCTACTGATGACACTGTAACTCACTAATGCTCCTTTAAACAACTTTGTTTGGGGCAATAAAAACAGTGTTTAGTTAAAACTAAAATATAATACTTCCTAGAGTTGCATGTGGGATCATCGCCATCATCATCATCACTAGCTAACCCCAAGGAAAAAGGTAAACACAAAATCTCCTCACTCTTGTACAAAACTAAAAGGTAAAATTTTGAATCCATTTTCCAACTATGTCACACACAGTTATAAGTATCCTTCTAAGGTGTGTATATGCCTATGTACACTTTTTAAGTAAGCTTGTAAACATATGTGGTAACTAGGGTATATTTTATTCAGTCTATGGTAGTTTACCCAACTGAGTATTACTAGTTCAATTTTCTTAGAATAAGAAGTTCTCAGAACAATGATCTATCACCTAAATTTCAGATCAATGTGTAACTCGTAGACAAACTTAAAACAGACCTTCTAAAACTATTAACAGTGCTCAATAATTCATCTATTTACATGCTAAAAATTTCTTAGTTACTATATGCTACTCTAATGAAAGCTATATTCAAATTATAATTTTTTCCCAGAGTATGCCAATAGATCAGAAATTATAAATAGACAGATCTGGATTTGAATCCTCAGTCTCTTCTTTAGCAGCTGGTTATCTCTGACAAATTACTGTAAATCTCTTTAGGCTTCTAGGTTTTATATTATCAATCATCATTGGTAACTGATAGTAATGAGAGTCAAACATTATTCATGCAATTTCCTTAACTTGGGTTTAAGTTGTAAATTTTCCCTTGGCAATGTTCACAGAAGATCATTGCTAAAATATTATTTTTCAGTTAGTTTTAAGCTGATTCTTTAAATAACAAACGATTTGCTCTAGAGAAAGATTTTCTCTTTCTTTGGAAGAAGCCAAGATCATCTCCATTTAAGGACACATAAGCAGCTGCTGCTACACATTTTAGTTACCCATAAGAAAGTGAAGTGGGCTAAGTTCACTCTGTCATAAGCATTTAAAAAAATAAAAATTACAAGTACCTCCTCTAAAATTAAAGAAGGGATTTAAGAATTAATATTTTCAAATGTGGTGACTTAAATAAATCTAATATGTAAGACAACAAATTAGATGAACAGAGAAGAGGAGAATGATGCCCAGCTTTACAAAAAAAAAAATTATTTATCCAGTTATATTGTAAAATAAACTGCTTTGGGAAGTTCAAAATATCATCCCACCAACATCTCATTTGTATAGCAATTTTCAGAAAAGCAACCACTAGATTAAATGAGGCACAACCTTTTAGAAACATTACAAAACTTAAATTTCAACACATGCAAACCCTAAAGCATCATTAACTGAGATGTAACTGATTGGGAATCTGCAATTATTTCTTTTTTACTATAAAGTTGCCCTTAATACTGCTTATAAAAAAAATTAGTAAGTTTGTGTAACAATTTAATGCAATTCTTTAAAAAAAATCTTAAATACTTAAGGTATCATATTGCTATTTTTGGGGGTTATATGTATCAGTTTAAATACAGAAATTAGCATTCGCAAATATATTGTTAAACTGCTAATTGAAGAAAACACAAATAAATTAAATACATTTATTAGTTCTTACTTTAGCTGTAAGATAAAAATAATTTTTTAAACAAAAAGCAGTTATTAGCCTGATTTTCTCATACACACTGCTTCTCCCATATACACAGAACAAGTACAAAATAAGAAGAAAACAGGTATAAAATTTGATTATGTAAAAATATTTCATTTTTGTCTTGCTAAAAGTTAACATTATGAGGAAGTGGTATTAAAGCAACAGCAGCAAGAATTCAATGAAAGTTGTTTTGCTTATACCTGTGTTTATTTTTTCTCATGATTAAAATTCCTACAGTAACTATTTTATATCTTCAACATGTTCACCATTTATATTCAATTATCTTCAGGCTTAGAGATAACTGAATATAAATGTTCAATTATCTCTAAGCCTGAAGATGCATGAATCTGTAACAGAAGCTTTCTACCACCTCAAATTTACCTTTTTTTTTTTTTCCCATTTACCTGCCATATACTGTTTTACATTAAAAACAAAAGATGAAGCACAAAGTGTTAATGACTTTTCCATACCTAAAGTAAGAAGTTCTAAAGTTTGGTTGTGATTTAAGACTAAGACTACGGCTAACCAATCGAAACTTCGGAATTCCTATGTGACATCATAAGACCTCCCTAACACACTTTTTCTCCTCCACCTACTGCAACTGTTCCCATAAACCTGGTGACAGAGTCAGAAAACTCCTCAGCTAAACATCCATAGACTTCATATGACCCAATACTCTATATTGTGATGATCACACCAGCCAAGGTAAGAAACAGATTTCACTGATTTTGGTAATTCTTATTTCTGTAATTCTTAATTCCTATGATTTCTATAACCTGAATTATTAAAATGAGTTAATTATATTTTATGAATTTCAGTTCAAAGTTAGATAATAAAATGACATGACAAAGTACTTAAATTTATAAAATGCTTAACCATTTAGTGACAGTAAAAAAAAATGAGAACTTTGAAATGAAAAGGGTCATATTCATCTTTGATCCTGGTTATTAGTTTGTCATTTTAATTTAACTTTCACTTTTATTTTGTTTTTCAAATGTGAATTTCTTCCAATTAAAAAAAATCTTCCAATTATGTTACCATGTTTGGTAGTAGCAGTGGTTAATTTCTCCACACAAAAACAATGACTTAATTTTGTTATCTCATGCTCTGCTGAGAAACAGTGCAGGACTGAACTGTCTATTTACATGTGAACTAATATGAATAGTCATGGGACTACAACATGAGCATTATCAGCATGTCTATTCTAATATTATCATTATAATTTCATACAGTGAATAATAATAAAATGGAGTTTAAGAATATATAGTGCGAGCTACTTTTAAAGTGCCCTTGGGGATTTTTCCCCTCTAAAGTCCAGTCAACTTTTAACAAACACTTCTAAAAATTCCATGACGTATTCAGTTACTGATATTAAATTCAATATTGTATCAAAAAGAAGTTTAGAAATTTTAAAATACTTTCACAAACACATAAAAGTCTAATGTTAGAGAATTTGACACTTTAAAAATAATTTTGACACATAAATATGCTTAAGTATCTCTTTTTCACACAAATTTGATAAAATGGTTTTCTGCCTATTAACACCTATACTTTTATCAAGTTACTATCCTCCAGTGTTACTCCATTTCCTCTCTTGGATTTAGAAGGAAAAGAGAAAATAAAATAAATGCCAGGAATGGAGATGCCACAATCAACTTTATGACGTCTGTTTGAATTCTACCTATTCTTTATGTTACAATCCTCAATTTAGTAAATAAAATGTTTCCTCATTCTTATATCTCTGTCAGGGCATATAGAAAAGTATATCTATTTTATTGATTTTAATTTTTATATTTTATATATATGTTAAAATAAAATTTACCTCTAAAATTCTCAATTCCTGTGACAAATGTTAATTCTATTACTCACTACAAATAAGACCTTTGTAATTCTGTAAGCAACTTTCTTTAAGACATAAAAAAACATAATTTTTGTCTACCACTGAGGTATCCTAATTGCTTCTCCGTATCTCTATACTCATATTTTTCCTTTAATATTGCATAAAAGTCATTAAATGTAGGTGTCTGATATGCTTATCTGTGCATTTCTATTCAAATATCTACCAAATTACATTCTCATATTTCAAACTGGGTATTCATGAGTTCTTTTATTTTATCATAATTTTGCTGTATAACATATTGCTCTAAAAAGTACACAACTTCTGGATAGAGCAGAAAGTCTACTATTAAAGTTACCCTTAGCTCACTAGTATGTCTCAGTTAATAGAAATTACGTAGTTACAGAGACTGCTAATATTTCAAATATAATGTGATAGTACCATACAATATGTCCCAACTAGTTCATCTATACCTTAAGGTGACAGTTAAGTACTGTCTTTGTTTATGAAGACATGTGGTTTAAAAGTAAGTGCTAAAAAAAAGTGTTAGATGAAATCAAATGGAAGAAATATGAAAGATGTTTAAATTAAGCAGCATTGATTAGGTTTTAAAAACACGTGAAAGAGCCAGAGTACTTGCTTTTCTAAGAGGTGTCACCGCACTAACAATTCCTAAAACTCAAATATCACATCTATTTTATTTGTATTTTAGTAGGCATAAAGAAAAATAATCACATTTGGGTTATATAATCATACATATTGTTTCTTAATCTCACTAGAGATAGGAAAATATTTGCATACAGTAGTTTCAGAAAAGAAAATGCTAATATATGTTAATGTATTATATAATGTACTGACTACATGTGTAGCATTAAATTATGTAATATATTTAATTTTTAATTTAAAAGTTCAATTTACAGTCTCTAAATTAGACAATATATTTATTACCAATCCCAGAAATGAGAAGGGCCTATTAAAATGTCTTTATTCTTAAAAAACAATTTCCTAAATATACCAGTATACACAAATGTTTCATTTGGTCCTTTTAATTATATATTTGATACTGCATCCCTATTCCACAATTTAGGAAAGATGCAAAAACGTGAACTGTGCAAGATCACAGAACTAAGAAAACAGAGAAACTTTGGCAGAAATTTAGGTTTTATGATTAAGCCACATCCACATCCTCTATACAATGATCAACATGGCTTAAAGTACATCATGACACTGACAAACGGAACTGAATTGAAAGTCCTCAAATACTGTAAATGATACTCTAAAAGGCAAATTCAGAGAATACAAACTTCTAATTTAATACCGTGCCATTTTACTTAAATTCAATTTAGGCATCAGACATTACATTCTTAATACCCTAAATTATATTCTACTGATCATTTTCAAAACCAGAAAACATACAAAAATTACAGATGTCCTTAGTTATTAAGCAATACAGCCTGGAAGGCAAAATTGAAACTAACCACACAAACTTTAAAAGACAATAACACACCTCAATCCATCAAAGTTTCCTTTTGTTTCATTGCTAAAATACGTATGCCTTTAATCAATTGATACCAAAAATCCAAGTTAGTATCTCATTAAAACTTTTACTACATAAACCACATTTCAATACTTTATTCCAGGATCCCTATTAAATCCTCAGCCCTCAGCATTCTTCAGTTTTATTTCTGAAGCCCCCCTCATACTCTAGTATTTTTAATATGCAACACTATTTATTTTGACGTGTTTGATCAGAGAAATCTTGCTATCTATGCTACAAAAATCCCTAACTTTCATCAAAACACTGAATTAACACAGAAATTGATCATACTAGCAAAGTAAACCTAAGGTAGAAAATCAATAAAGTAATCTTTCTCAAATACAGTGGCATAAATCAGATAAGATGTAGTCTCTTTGTATATTTTCAGAAATAGCACATCAAAGTTCTCACCCTGAATAATTCTGAACCATGTGTTACCAAATAAACACATTAAAAGGAAGGCTGGATGTACCGCATACTCATAGTCAACTGAGGACCTCTAGTGCCTTTTAAAAGGTACTCCATCTTTAGGGTTTTCAACCCCAAGTCCCCTGCCCAAAAAAAAAAGGTTGACCAGTTCACTCCCATTAATAGGGGGTTTATTTATTAAGTGGCATTCATTTTTCCTTAAGACATTCTCAATAATACCTCCCCACAATCTCCTCCCCCCAAAAAGATCCTGAAGTCCCAATTCCTACATGATTAAAAAGAATACTTTACTTGTAAATAAACTCGTAAAGCATTGTTTCAATATTTAAGAAACAATAATGAAGACAAACCTACAGATAATATAGCAACAGCAATAAGCTACATTGTCAATTTCAGAGAGAAAAATCTCTCTGTGCTGTTGTTTAATGAATTCTCCTCAAGGTAGAGCTTTTACAGGAGGAACATTTCATTACAGGTCAATTTAGGGGTGAGAATACATTGATTTTTATGCATATACAATTATTTTCACAAACAGAAGCAGCTTGAAGAACTGTCCTATTACCACAAGTCCAAAAAAGAGTATATACATAGTCTTATGGCTTACCTGTGTAAATGTCAGCAAGTAGTAGAAAAATAAGATAAAATTCCAAATAATACAAATATAGACAAGTCCTGTTTACAAATTCAATATACAGAAAATTCTAATCTTCAAAACCAGTTAGATAGAAAAAAAAAATCCTAAAGTATGTCAGACTGTAGCCTTAGATATTACTTGAATTCAATTTAATAAAAGTATTGTTTCAATACTCTCATGTTTACCAAAATAATAAATAAAAGGAGAAAAGCAAAATTCTAAATTCTACTAATATAAAGAGACCCAGGAATTTATTATTTCAGCAAAAGGAATACCACCAAAAATACTGATGTTTGAGGAGTTCTGCAAGCACTGAACGTGCTTAAAGTATAGGTGGGGATTAATGCTCAGCATATACAACATCATTAAAGTATCAATTGTCTAGCAAGTCATAAAGCAGACAACCGAAAGTTTTCAGAAGACTATTGAGGTTCCTTCCTCACAAGAATTCATCTGATATTACAGTGCTAAAACAGGACTCACTGCAGACAAGGTAAGGACTCCTAAAGCAGTACCTCCCAGCAAACATGTTGCCTAACATGGTATGTGATATTAGTCAAAAGATTAGAGTTGCCTATGGCTTTTCTATTCCTTATTCCACCTCAAAAAATAATCAAAATACTATCTCAAATTTGATTTTTTTTTTTAATTTCCAGTGTTAGTTTTCTTTGAGGAAAAGAAGACAACCACAGGACTTATAAATCCCACAAAGAACAGTAAAGAATTCTTTACTCTTTATTCTTCACATTCCTCCAAAAAGTAGAGTAATCATGGATCCACAGACACATGAGATACTCTATGGATACTGTTCTGCCTCTGACATGCAATTCAAGAGACAAGAGTCTGGCATTTCTACACCCAAACTCCTAACAAGCACCTTTCATATTTTCAATACTCTTAATTCTAGGGCCTGGATTATAAATTGATTTTTAAATTCACCTATAAATGAATACTCCTCTTGCATCAAAACAACCAATTTATATATATTGTCATTCTTTTAATAAGACGGTGGAGAGTAACATCAGTTTCCATAGCCATTTAGGCCAGATACAAGTTCAGAAAATCCCAAAACAATCTATTTATGATTAGACTAAAAGAATGCTCTAATAAGATCAGGTAACATAAAACTAAAACTATTTTTCTAAGCTTTCCATCAAAAAGTACTCTATTAAACAGCTTGGCTATTAAGAAATTAAAAACAAAAAAAGGAAACTCATACGGTGGTTGTCAGTGCAGAGAGGAGAATTACAAACATCTGACAACCATGC